TTTTTTTTTTTTTTTTTTTTTTTTTTTTTTTGTTACGTTTCTTCTGTTTCCTTCTTTTCTTTTCTTGTTTTTCCCGTTTCTTTTGTGACCTACTGAAGAAGAAGAGAGACACGAACAGACCTTCGGAGAAACCGTTGGCCAGGTAGATCAGAGAGTGAGAGAAATACGTAGAGTAGACGAGAGAGAGAGAGAGAGGTTTGAAAACAATAGCAAAAAAAAAAGGTGGTGAGGAATAAAAGAAGGGAACGTGGTGTGTCTTCTCTTGAATTAATAATTTTCTATTGACTTTATGCGGTTGTGGTGTTCTACACAGCATGCATCACGTTATATGTATGTGTTGCGTAGAGATCTAATTTCTACACGCAATCTCAGACACTCTCCACACACCGCGCTGTGGCAACTACGCCGAATGTCCATTAGTCATTCCTCTATGTTAGATGCAGAGAATGGGGCTGTCATGAATAACAATCATAATAGTGCCACATCTCCGCCAGATGATTCACCTTCAGTTGAGGTAAATCTATCACACTCAATAATGTCATCATCGTTATCTAAGGCGGTAGATTCTAAAGAAAAAAATAAGAGTAATGATAATAATATAGCTACAGATTCATGGGACCTTAATTGGATGCTTTTTTCACTTAAAGATAACCGTACAGGTGTAATATCATGCCCAGATGCAGAGGATCGTCTGCGTGGCATGGTGTTATTAGATGCATGGATGATTGAGAAAATGTTTCTCAAGAGTGGTTGGTTGAATCAATTGCAGAAAAATGGGGAGTCAGCACCACAGTACCGCTCTGTGGTGGGTGAATATAAAGTCTTGCGTTACTTACTACATCGTTTCTTATCAGATGAAACCCTCTGGTGTGATGAATTACAAGAACTCTTGCAAATTATTCTAGAAAGAGGAATGAAATATCAACATAATGCTATTTATAGTACAGATTCAAACATGGTATCTTCTTATTCTTGCAAAGGTGATGATAGTATGGTGTCTATTAAAGTTCCACAATCACTCCGTTCTGGACCAGAGAATATGAATTTTTATAGTGAAGGTTTACAGAGAGTATTATGGAAATTTCTACAATTACGAGAATCTTCCCTTGATACACCAGATGCTGTATGGTGTGCATTTGTAGCAACTCATCGTAATGCTTTATTTTTACCATCTCCACAGCGACCACCATTTGATCATTGTGAACAGGTTCCTTATCTTAGTGAAACGGAGTTTGTGGATGTTCTGCATGAAGAGGAAGAAGAAGGACCAATAGTAAATGAGGCGTTGGAGCATACAGAGACGTTAATGCAAGGTGTGACGTTGAATTGGCCCTCCGAGTGGAAATTGGAAAATGATACACCGAATGGTCATACAAACTATAGTGTTGAGGGAACACAAAAAGTGGGAAATGAACAACAACGTCATCAATACCAGCACGATGCCTTCTATATGAATTTGGTGGAACCAAATGAGTTAGACTTCTATGATGATAGTAGTGTAAGGAATACTCCTACTGATACGACATCTCTTGTTTCTCAAAATGTGGATGAGTCACAACAAGAAGAAGAGAAAGAAAAAGAGAAACATGTAAGTGGTTGGCATTCTTCTAGACTAGCTGAGCGTGGTCTTCTTAATCCAGTGAACGGTGAGTTAGAAGATCTTCACCTCACACATCTGTGGGACGTTTTTCAGGGGAATAAAATGGAGGATATTATCGATTTATACCGTGGTGTGTGTGGAAAATTAGAAACACTTCAAGAAGAGGTATTCTTGGATAGTCTGGCGAGAAAAGGACTACTCTTGCTTTTCTTTGCCCGTGATGAAGTGAGAGCATTAACACCGCCATCAGTGACATATCAACGACTAAGATATCTACACAATGAGTTGAATATGTTAGTTTCATGGTACTATCCATATAATGGCAGTAATGAATTGAAGTCACCTCACTCCTTTGAGGAACTATCGCACACATCACAACTTTCATTTAGCTGTTTTGCTCATCTGCACACACCATTGCAGCGGGATATGTACCGAATTTCCAGTCCAGCAACATCCCCGGCACAGCTTTATCACCACTACTGTACCTTGTATTCACAAGATGGTGAAAAGGGGAAACTTTACACAAAACAAGATACAGCAAACGAAGTGAAGATAACAAAGGGTGATGCTCTTGAATCACACGATACGGTGACAATGGGAAGATTTCCAATGTTTGAATTACTTAGCGAATTCCAGCAAATGGCGTTCCAGTACCCCTTTGGAGAGACATTTCATTCTAGAGTTCAAACGGAACCAGTTTTAGATTCGACTCTTTCTCAATCAGCGGAAAGTACACCAAAAAATAGTTTTAAGGAGGAAACTCTCGTTTGCGACAACAGAGAGTCTTCTGTTGTGGTTAAAAAACGACTTGGTCGTCCAAAGAAAGATGTTGGGGATTCCAGCGCTGATGAGACTCAAGAACCGGTTGTTGAGGCTAAAAAACGACTTGGTCGTCCAAAGAAAGATGTTGAGGATTCCGGCGCTGATGAGACTCAAGAACCGGTTGTTGAGGCTAAAAAACGACTTGGTCGTCCA